TATTAATTTACACTTGTGTTTCGCAACAAAATATTTATAACAAACAATTCTCAATTTAATCAATAAATTGAAAGTTAATTAACAATTAGCAAAAATTCAATCTATATTAATCGCATGTTTATGAATGTCTCAATCAATGGCTTGTTATTTCTCAAAAGCACTAATCAATGAAATTAATTATTGAAACACTAAATAATGTATTGATTTGTCAATCATTTGCAGTCAGTATTCCTCGCTATAGCCTGACGTCAAACGTCGGCGTAAACGTCAACATAAGTCCAATCAATTTGAGTCCAATCCCGCGCTCGCGGTCCACATTCATGACCCGTTTGCGCAAACATAAGCGCCGGCCCTCTAATGTCAACCACTTTTCCGACTCCGAAGCCGTGGCGATGGATCAGATGAGCGACGCCGACAGTGTGACCGGTAGTGGCGGCGGTGGCCGTCGTTATAATCCCATACCAAGCCTTATACGACACGCCTCGTCGGCCCGCGACAGTGTCTCGGAGGACAGACAGGACACCATTAATATCTTGCAGTCACTGGTGGGCACTTCCAGCGCCAACTCGGCTAAGAATCGGCGCATGAGTTTAGATGAGTTCATACAAAACAACCGACGCCTCAAAATACATAAACTAATGCAACAGACCATAGATCAGAGCGCTTCGGACGTCTCCCTATCCGACGGTGAGTCCAGTTTCATGTCGGCGAAGAGTCCCTCGTCATCGCCCGGCCGACGATCGCCGGTCAATCTCTTGCGACAGTTTAGCGCCATTTCGGAGGCCTCTCAGGAGGACCAGTGCTCCCGGTATGTCATTTACATGTCAAACAAGTTTGCCTTAATTACTGTATTAACTAATGATTTGATCTGATCTTAAAGTGTGGTCTCGAGGAATAATACACTGCCCGGCGATTCGTCGTCCGATAGCATCAGTCTATTGCATAACTCGCCGATTATGAAACAGGAGAGCGAAACCGATGTATTGCTCAACGATATACTCACTATACAGGAGTCGTCGTCCAGACCACTGACCGCCTGCAGCGGTGGTCATCACCACCACTACGGGTGCGATAGGGATAGTCCGCAGCCGTCATCGTCCGGATATATGAGACAAGTATTGTTTTTTATTCATTATTAACGCTTTTTAAAGACATTTTATTAACTTTTGTTGCGTTATAAATGAAGGATAAGCTGATGTCGTCGACCACATCGTCGACCAGTAGTGGCGCCTCCACTCCCAACCACTTCTATCCGCCCTCAATAACAGTGACCAACGCCTCTATTGAGCACTACTGCGAGTACGACAGCGACTACCGGTCCGGCGGCGGACTCAGCCATCGGTCGTACGGCGGCAGCGGTGTTGTGGCCGCGTGTGAGCTCACGGTTCCCGCGCAGACCATACGCCGACTGTCGGAGCCGTCGCCCAATCCGATCGCCGGCGGAGCCGCCGATCCCAGCAAACGGTCGGTGAGTCCGGGCTCTCAGTCCTGTTGTTCACCGATGATGACCAAGAAGTCGACGGGAGATCCGATGGCCAAAGGGCGCAAATTTTCTCTAGAAATGGTGCCCAGAATACTGATCAATACGGCCGGAGTGCCCGGCGATCCCAACACAACACCCAATCCCTGTAAAAAGGCTATGCATTACTTAAATCCTATGGCAATCACCGGTTCCAGCGATCGGACAATATCCGAGTCAAATTTGAGCACATCCGGCTACTCCTCCCTCTCCAGTCCCGGCATTTCCAGGTACGCGATGATCACCATTGACTGATCCATCAAATATGATTGTTGTTTTAATTGGTTTTGTGTCCATTTAGATGCAACTCTTCGAGTCCGTTCCCCGAAGAGATCGGTGGTGTGAACGCAGAATTGACTACAATTGTCATCCCAGATGTACCACAACTCGAGTTCAGTAACAACAATAACCTCAAACACCACTATCACAGCCATCAATACCAGCAGCACATCCACGACGAGGCCAGCCATCAGTCGGCCACCAATTACGGCAACTTTCTGTCGATACCTGTCTTCACGTTTCCCTCAAAGGACGCGTCCAGAGGACGACATTCCAGGTCTAAGTCGCCGAGTCGTGGCTGTCCTCCAGCGGCGCCCACTCTTTGTCCGCAAATCACAATATCTGCCGCCGAGTCTGTGGAGCGACTGATGGACGACAAGTATATGTCATCGCAAGTGGAGGACGAGGGCATTGAATGCGAACAGGACTTCATTGCAAGGGTTTGTTTCAAAGAGTTTTTATTAAGCCATTGATCGCAAGAAATATAACACAAGAATATTCTGTTGGAAAACACATAGGAATCGAAAGAATCGCTTAAAGACTGCAAACGGGGTGACAGTTACGCCTCGTTTGAGATGCACTCCCGGCCCGAATCACTGAGCGGTTCCCGACAGGAGCTGCGGTCCGCAGTCGAGGGACACAAGAAGTTGCGCCGAAATCGGTTGATCTCATCGCCCACTCACTCACTCGAGGACTTCAATATGGAACCGATCCGACGGTCGGGCGATAGCCTACGGGCGCCCAAAATACGGCGAAACCCTTCGTGGCCGGCGGTCATGATCTCACCGAACTCGAGCTCTTCGTCCGAATACGAGGCGTCCAAACGGGACCAGTCGTGGTCGCTATCGGCCAAGAAGTTGTCATCATCGCCGGTACAGCAGCACAAGTCGTCCGCCTATTTGACTCCCAAAGTGAAAAAACTGCACAAACGGCGGCTCAAGTCGTCGTCTAAACGACCGCAACTCGAGTCCAGTCTATCTGTGAATAGCTGTCCCATTAGTAGCGATAATAGGCTGTCGGCGCGGGTTTCGTGGTTTCAATCGTCGCGCTCGTCGTCTACGGAGTCGTTCCTGTCGTCCGCACCCGACGACGATAACACCATTATCTCCCAAATCCGGTGCCGTAAACACCATTCGTCGCAATCTCTGTGCGACCGCTCTGTCTGTGATATATTTAACGCCGCGGCCAATGATTATGACTTCACCGGCGCTAGAAGTGGAGGTAGTGGTGGTGTCGGTAGCGGCCAATCGTCCCCATATTTACGCCCAAAACAGGCCATCGCTTCCATATCGGACACGGCGTTGGATAAGCGCGTCAACGATCCCATCAATTGGTGAGCTGTTTGTTGTTGTCCTCTATTTTATGCCATTATTTGTTTAATTAATTGTTTAGTATTGAAATTCAATGAATAGTTTTGAAAAGCAATCGTCAAAACCGGTCAGCAATTCATTGGACGCGTCGTCGGCGTCGAGAAAGCGCTCCAAACGTACGATACATAAGCAAAAGGCTATGCAAGAGGACGACCACATGTAAT